AGCTTCCCGTTTATATCCAATCCTCATAGACGCAGAAGATTAAGCAATAATAATGGCGCAAACATATGCCATTGTTGAATTTGAGAAAAAAGATTGTGCGATTGTTCCAATGACGTGGATATGTGGAAATAATTGCTTCTGGCCTAAAGCTAATATTCCAAGGTTGGTTTCTGAATATGCTCCACCCAAGGAAGATTGGTCCCAGCATATGATTATCAAAATTCATGATACTTTAGGTTTGTGTACCCTACATAATAATATATTTGAATATAGCAGGCTTAGGTTTGCATAACGTTTTATTGCACCTTCCATGATGAAGTTGCTTATTCTGTGTAGTTAGAGTAGTTCTAAGTTCTAAATTTTATTAATATAGTTATAATTTAGATAACTCTAGTTCTGAAGTCCATTCTGGAATAAAATTTTAGTCAATAAAATCTCTATATATGTTTTAGAGGGAATTGAAAATTGTGAAAGAAGACTATCACAAATTATTGAAGAATCTACTAATTCCGAATCAGTGAATTGTCTGACGTCTTCTTTAGTTCGAAGAGAAATAATGAATAGGAATTCAGGGAATTCAAGTGATGACATGACGGAAAGGGGTTCTGAATTTCATAATAGGTATATACCTAAAAAAATTAATTAATATATAATAACAGCAAAAATATTAAACAATATTTAAACTTACATATATATTTTTTTATCCAGTAAAAGTGATCCAAATATAAATAAATTGATGGATGAAGATGATGTTCCATCCAAAAACTCCTCTGACTCTTCCGAGGACTTACCTTTGGCAAAAAGAAAGAAAACTTTAAAAGTAGATTCTAGTAAATCCAGGTAATAATTTAATATTGTACTTACAAAATTTTAATTATTAATATCAAATCTCCCTCATAAACTTGTAGTGCATCAAGAGGAAAAAAAACAGTCTTGAAAGCCAAAAAGAAAAAAATTGTCTGCAGAGAAAATAACGTGTGGCCCAATTCTTCCAGTAGTGATGATGATGAAAAATCGCATAAAGGATACAATACACCCAGCACTATCAAAGTAACTGAAAAACTCAAAACAACTTTCGCTGCATCTGAAGATGAAAGTTGGAATAATTTTCCTTCAAAGGCGGAATCTTCAAAGAACGCGAGGGTCAAGGAGTAAGTCTTTAAATTTACTAAAACCTTTAACTATGAGTAAGATGGTAGGGCATCTGAATGACAAGATACAAAAAATTCATACATAAAAAACATTATTATTATTATAATACAAATTCTGAGAGACATGGGAATTCTTCAAAACCTAATTGCTTAGATCAAGAACTAAAATTAAATTTAATAATATAACCATATTGAATCTATTTGAAGCAATGAAAATATTAATTCAGATTCCCAATCGTTAGGATGCATGTATAGCAAATTCTTATAAATATAGGAAAAGGAAAAATAATAACACAATTTATTGAATTTTAGGACAAATTCAAATGTTGCAACGGAGCCTAAAAAAAAAATACGGGTTTTGCAAAATGTCATTCTTCCCCAGAATAATACCCTGAATTTTTCACAAAGCAGATTTTCAAAACCTAATAATGACAAAATTGCTACCCAAAGTTGTGTTCCAAGTACATCATCTTCCTCCACAACTCCAAAAAAAGGTTTCGAGGCAACTGTTATTCAGCATTTGCAGAAACTTACTGAAGTACAAGATCAGAACACTCTTAAAATCGACCAGATGTGGAAATTTCTGAATGAAAGTAAACTAAAGCACGTGTCAAAACCAGAAGAGTTTCCGATACTGCCTGTGGACAGGAAAGCAGATTTCCAAAAACTGGAAGAACTTCTATTGGATGAGCCAATGCACACTTATTTGGTAAGCAAACTACTAACCTTTCTAAGGGCCAAATTATGAACCGACTGATAAGTGTCAGGTTATTACCTAGCAGGAACTTTCCATGCTCTAGAGAATAGAAAGTACCTGCTAGGTAACAACCTGACACTTTTCAATTGGTCCATAATTTGGCCCTAAATGAATAAGTTTGATAAGTTGATATGTGGGTACCTATCTGTAAGATCTATTTTTATTTTTATTTTTATTTTTTTAGAAAAATCGTCTAGCGTGTATTGGGGGCCTTAACGTGAGAACCACAGTAATGGGCATGTTAAAATTTTGCATCACCAATAGATTAGCGACGAAGTTTAACTGGGCAGGCCAGAATAAGAAAGCCTTCAAAGCCACCAAGTTAAAAGATGTCATTTATGGTAATATTAAGTAAGTATAGGGTCGATAGTAAAACTGATTATTTAATTTTCAGAAGCCACTGAGCTTTGCTTTTCTTCTGGAAATGGAAAACCTTCGGATATGAATGATAAGGTCATTAATCAAGCCATGAAGGACTGGCTAAGATTGGCGGCACAAAGAAAAACAATATAATTCGTATATAAATATATTTGTTTCATATACAAATCATCTCAATTAAGTTACTAAATTAATAAATATAATTTTGTAATGAAAATTTTAGTAATATAGCTATCCCCGATTAATGTAGGTATAGTTTTTTTATTATGACCAATTATAGTAGGTATACATCCATGTTCGTACAGATTATGCTTGCAAAAAAAAATTAAGTAACTCAGAATCACAAAAAGCCTGAATAACACGACTAAAACTGACAATTACTTTCAGCTCTCCATTTTTATAATAGTTATTTTTTTTTTTTTTGAAGAAAATATGCCCATAAAGAGGCATGAAAAAAATAAAGGACGTTTAAAAAACATCTATAAAAAATTAAAATATACACTGTGGGCCAAATTAAGTTGGAACATAATTTGACCAATAATAACTTTTATGTCTGTTTATGGATTTTAATGATTTTTGGATATGATATTAGTCAATATGTTTTTGTTGCAACCTTAAAATTAATTTGACCAATTTTGGTCAGGTCCGGACTTACGACGATTTTATTAAATCGGTGTATTTAAGTTCGTTGCAAAAATGAACTGCACTACTTACAAACCAACTATTATTATTTTTTAGAAGGACATTTATGGGAAAACAAATCCTGAAAATATAAATATTTTAGAACCAAAACCTGAGAAACTATGATTTTTTTGACTAATATGTAATTCAAATAGGAAATTTTACATTACTTTAATCCAGATTGCTTTGGAATCAGACAATTGTCAAATTTTTGACATTTCATTAAGCTGTTTAATTCAATAGTATATTTCCTAACTAGTTCGGAAAGTGTCACTTTACCGCACGCGATTGCATTTGACCGAACGACGCGTAGCGGAGCAAAGAAAATGTGGAAAGTTGTTTTTTTGTCTTGCAAGTTGACCCCTACCTCCCACCTTTTCGGTCACTGAAAACTGTCAGGCATTTTTTATTTTTGAATTATTTATCAATGTCAATATTTTATTCAAATGCCAGTCAACGGATCATAGCCAATGGAGAAGACGCTTACAGACCGTAGTCGATAATGAAGGGGGCTTCATCCACAATCAATTTCTTCAATACTTACAAACTGCACTATAGTGCAGTTCATTTTTGCAACGAACTTAAATACACCGATTTAATAAAATCGTCGTAAGTCCGGACCTGACCAAAATTGGTCAAATTAATTTTAAGGTTGCAACAAAAACATATTGACTAATATCATATCCAAAAATCATTAAAATCCATAAACAGACATAAAAGTTATTATTGGTCAAATTGTGTTCCAACTTAATTTGGCCCACAGTGTATATTTAACAAAGACATATAAAAGACGTCTAAAAACACTCAATATAATGCGTCTAAAAACACGTATTATATAACGTCTAAATCTGATTTAAAAAATACATCGATTTTCAGTAGGACATAGATTATTCATAGACGTTTATCTGGCGGACATGTAGACGTCTATATGACGTCGAACGATACAGTATCTAGATGTATGATCTAGATAAAAAATAAACATCTAATGTATGTTTTGTGTTACTTGGGCATCTTTGAATTAAATCCATGATTAAAAATTTCAGTTAAATTTAATCTCCGGTTAAGTTCAAAGTTGGTGTCAAATGATAGTTTATCAAAATCTAAGATAGGAATGTGAAATCGGTTTTCCTCTAAAATTAACCAATTAGGTTTCACAGTCTGTCAAAGTTGCAAAAAGTCAATTTTCAACTGTCAATATTTCCAAAACAGTTGAACTTAGGTATAGGGTATATCACATGAAATCTGCTCAGAATTTTACGTAGAATCCAAATATGCAATTTAATACGGGGTGTTCCATTTAAAATAGTGATGTTGCCACTAGTTTAGAGTAGAAGCGGCAACACCGCATGGTCAAAGATATTTTTAAAGTGTAGATCATGGTCGTTTATCCCGGTTGCCAAATTTTCAAAATGATCCGCTTTTTAGTTCTCCATAAACGTCTAATACGCCATCCACCGTGGGACACCCTGTATAGGCATGCTGACTCTAGTTGTCCTAACATAATGCTATCTGACCATGTCCGTCATGTTTTTTATCAAATAAACAATGGATTGAGAGATTTTCAGCTGTCATGAAACTCTTTCATCGCGATTAATTTTTTACACATTCAAAGGTGCGTGGGCGTAGCTTGTCCCTCTACCTCACTTGCTGACTCGAGTATAGTTATATACATCACAATTACAAGCTTATATTAAATTTTCAGCTTTCATGAAACTCTTGCACTTTTTTGGCGCTGGCTCTCCGACTATTGTGTCCATAACCTGCATTCTAATTGAAAACAGAGTATGTTTCAGTATCTTGGATAATAAAGAAATTACAAGGATTTTTTAAATTCAGGAAATATTGAAATTCGCCCTGTGATTTCTCATCAAGTTAACCTTGACTTTTTTCTTCATTACTATTTTCTCAAGAAAAAGAGATGAGAATGTACTTCCAGGTCCCAGAAAATGGGCCACCCTGTAAGTCTTGAGAGAATAAAGCGTGTTTTGAATTTCAGTTATAAATTTAAAAATAACCATACAATTATTACCTACCTTGTTACAACACTAAGAGGATCTAATCGCATAGCACTCTCATGTGAGTCCAAAGTAACCGTACACAAAACTTGTGTCTGACCCCTAGTAAATACTGCTGACCCATGCAATGGTTTATACAAATCCACTTGACAAGATATACTTCTAAGTTCATCCAAATGTCTTCCATCACATCTAATGTCTTTTTCAAAAATCAATTCCCTAAAGGTTTGCTTTACTATTTTATTGTAGCCTTCACCAACTAAGTTTGAATCAGCATCAGGAAAGGAGTGTCTTATTTTTTCTAGGACATTTGTTCTTACTTCTCCAAGGGCTACATCACGTTCTATTTTATCTAAAGAGTAATTTTGAAGAATTTGGCTAACTCTCATAGATGATAAGGACCTTAGGGCCTCAGTAATTTCTTCGCTAAGTGTAGGAGCTGCTTGTATACTTCTCTTAGGTTTACCAAATTCTTTTTGCAAATTTTCAATTTGGGTAATAATTTGTTGAGTTTCTTTAGTGCCTATTTTAATAGATTTTTGTAGATCTTGCAATAAAATACCATCAGCATTGCCTTCTAACATAACAACTAAATTCTTTTTTGTCGCCGATATAATTAAATTCAGTTTGGAATCATTTAATTCTTTTCTAGTTGGATTTATAACTACTTCTTCATCAACCATTCCTACTCTTACAGCACCAATAGGCCCCATCCATGGTATATCACTTAGGGCTAATGCTGCAGATGCTGTATTTATTGAAATAACATCCGGATTGTTTATTCCATCAACTGCTAACATATTACAAACAACCTAAGATAATTTTGATAGTTATTCAATTACTCGAATAAACTAGCCCTCAGAGTAATCAACGATAGAGGGGCAACAACTGAAATCAACAGTCACTTATACTGGGTTTATTTTAGATGCATCTCTGAGAGTCTGAGGGCTAGAGTTTAATTAACAATTCTTACTTGTGTATCATAATAATAATGTTCATCAAACAAGGGTCTTAAGCTTCTATCAATCAATCTAGAAGTTAAAATTTCCCTTTCACTGGGTCCCAATTCACGTCGGAAAAAATTCGTTGGGATTCGTCCAGCAGCTGCCGATTTTTGTCTGTAATCTACAACCAATGGTAAAAAGTTGCTGGGGCTCGGTTTAGTTTTGGAAACCACTGTTACCATTACAGAGGTGTCGCCTAGGGTTCCTACGGCACAACCGTCTGCTAATCGAGCAAATTGGCCTGTAGTTAGAGTTAAATTCCGACTAAAACTGGGATTTTTGGGTACTTTTCTAACCTTAAATATTGTCACTTACCCATTCGAAAAATTTACAGTGGTTCGAGGACTTCTGGAAGTTTCACTTAAGTATCTAATATGATCATTTAGAGTTCTTTTGAGTAAGTATAATTGTTTAAATCGTTGGGTTTCACGACAAAAATGCATTTTTGTACCTTTTAAAAGACTTGAAGTTAGATTTTTGTCTTTTGATTACACATCTAACCTAAAAAAAGATTGTTTACTATCATAAGCAAGGCAATCCCGGCAATCCAGTCCCCAATCCCTTCCCTTGCTTGATCCAATCCATCTATCAAAAAATAGGTGCACCGTTGTCAACGTCATTAACGGTTATTGTTGAAATATGTTGATTACACCGAACGTGTCGCTCTAGAGCTCCTCGGAGTCACTCCAAAACACACAATTCAGAATCATTATTCTTCAGAAAGTTCTCGTGCCTCAGACGCTACGCTGATACGGTACCGATAACAATAAATTGTATTTCATAGTTCTCAGACACAAAAATCCTCATGCCTCATTCTCACTCGAATTTGGGAGGATTTTCATGCATCCGTTTTTCCGTCGAAATATGTCCGTTTAACATTCTATTCTGACATAATCGTACATAAATATGTCAAAATAGAATGTTAAACGGACATATTTCGACGGAAAAACGGATGCATGAAAATCCTCCCTTTCGCGCAAGTGCGAATGAGGCATAATGCTTCATTTACAGTTGCGCGAAATTCGCTCTTTTTTGACATTGCTTCGACAATTTGAAGTTTGATTCACGCATAAAATGTCAAATTGTCGAAGCAATGCTGCTATGAGTACTAGGCTTAATGCGCTGATTCTCACTTGCGCGAAATTCGCTCTTTTTTGATATTGCTTCAAAAATTTGACGTTTGATGCGCGAAATTCGCTCTTTTTTTGACATAACGTCAACGATTTGATGTTTTTTGCGTGTTTCAAACGTCAAATTTTCGAAGAAATGTCAAAAAGAGCGAATTTCGCGCAAAGGAGAATTAATCCTAAAGCCTAGTCTCCATGGACGCGAAATCGCGAATTTTTTTTTGCGGATATTTTCCGATTGGTTGGAATTTGACATTTAACATTTGATTTTTTTATGGCGGGAAAAATTCGCGAATTTTTTAACTTCTTGCGGCGTCGCAAAAAAGTTAACTATTTTTTAACTTTCCGCGAAATTTCGCCAAAAAAAAATGAGGTTATGTGGTGTTACTTTCAGTTTAGTTTTGTTTATGTTTTTGTCGGTATGTGCTCTGTTCTCTGTGAGTCGTTGATGTGTTTTGTACTTGTAGATACCTAATAAAGAATGGATACTGCCAAAGAATTGAATATTGTAGACCCGAAAACAGACATAAATTACAGCTTGCTGGTCGATGAGGAAGATTATAATAGGGCCTTAAATGTAATTAAGACAACACCAAGACACATATCTTTTTTTGTTTTTTAGTAATCACTTTCATGGTTTTCAAAGATTAGTGTTTGAAATTCAAAGCATTTAAATCGAATTCAAATTGATTACAAACAACAACATATAGGTAACCTTAACCTGTTAAATAAAACGCGAATTTCGCGCTTATGGAGACATGGGAATAATTTGCTCGGAAATAGCCACCAAAAAATGACACTTAAAAAATTCGCTTTCCGCGATTTCGCGTCTATGGAGACTAGGCTTAAAGCTTAATTCTCACTTGCGCGAAATTCGTTTTTCTCACTTGCGCGAAATTCGTTTCTCTCATCTTTTTCGTCGATTTGCTCCGACATTTTGACAGGCACGTGATTTGTAATCAGTGATGCCAACTCGTGGGAAATTTCCCAATTCGTGGGAAACTAGTAACACTAAAGGGAAAAGGGAAATTTCCACCAAAATTGCGATATTCGTGGGATATTTCTCAACAAATAGTGCATATAAGGAAGGTTGCAAGACATTCGCGGTCGGATCGCATAGCTATCGCGAACTGTGCAAGTTTGGAATAGACGGAGAGCCAGCGCCGAAAAAATTCTTTGAATTTACTAAAGCCAGTTTTTGGTCAGTTGATTACAGTATTTACCCGTGAGTATTTACGTACATAAACATACCTTGGTCAGTCAAGCGAAACTTGGGACAAGGACCTAGGGTGTCTGGTTAAAGTTGTCGAGATAGGTAGGTAATGCAACGAATTTACTAAGGCTGAAAATCGCTATACATATTAGAGAGATATCGGTAAATCAGATAGCGCGTATGGACGGTAACGTCAGGGGTTATTTTTTTAAACTAAAGCGGTATCATACTTTCAAATTAGAGTTATCGGAAAAAAGTTTTACGTAAAATTTGCCTGTTCGCATCCGTTATTTTATAACCGTAGCCTAACTTGTAGGTACCTTGTTATTTGATTTGTGTTGTCTGTTGTTTATGGTCAGGGACAGAGGATTCGCTTTTTTACTATTTTTTGAACAATCCATATTCACTTGAACACAACAAAAATAAAATAAACAATAAACATAACATAACCTATATTATTCCACGGCGTTATTTTTAGGCGTTATTCGAAATAGCGCTTAACGTAAATGCTGGGTAAATTACGTTATGCGGTAACGTTATTTTAGTACGTAGTGTTAAAAATCGAATCGCGCATAGGTTTGTCAAAATAACGTAGGCGCTAATACTGCATGACACTTTTTGGGTTACCGATATCTCTCTATTATATATAACGCATAAATAACAGTGATGTTTGTCAGTCAGTTGAATAGCGGAACTGGGCCGGTCATTCAGCCCCATTGAGGTAGTTCAGCCCCAATTTATGTAAAAAAAATAATGGGTCTATTTTTTTTTTAGAGTGACAGCGTGACAGTGACAATTCAAAATTATAGGTTGAAGTTTAAATTAATAGGTTTGTTCAGTAATATTAATATTTTTTGCAGATTTTTACATTTATTGAGGCTGACTGACCAGCACGGTCCCGCTATTCAACTGACTGACTAACACTACTGTTATTTATATGTTATATTTAATATGTATAACGATTTTCAGCTTTAGTAAATTCGTTGCATGACCCAAGTTATCTCGACACCTTTAAGAAGACACCCTGGGTCCTTGTCCCAATATTCGCTTGACTGACCGCGGTATGTTTATGTACATAAATACTGTAATCAACTGTCCAAAAACTAGCTTTAGTAAATTCAGAGAATTCTTTCGGCGCTGGCTCTTATGCTTAATTTTCATGCAACCGTTTTCCGACGAAATATGTCCGAAAAATCTTCTATTTTGACATATTTTTATACGATTATGTCAGAATAAAATGTTTTTCGGACATCTTTCGTCGGAAAAACGGATGCATAAAAATCCAGCTTTAGACTAGAATGCGCTCAAAAATGATTCTTCGAATGTATGCGTTTCCACATTGACTTTCGCGAGCGCACCCTGGGTTTCGCCCTGTCACAGCAGCACAGAGTAACTTTGATTCACTTCAGAATGAATCGAATCGAGCATTGAGGTAGTCGAGTTTAAGAGTTCGAAATGTTACCACGTTGAACCAAAAAAGTTCGAACCCGATTCCAGCTCAGTTCTAGAATCTAGCATGCGGTACAAATGAAAACTTTAGCGAATGACTTGTTATTAGGCAATTTTGCGCGATGATAACCAAGCATGCTCGAGTATGCTGGATTATGTGATGTGTCAATTATTGTCATACTTCCCTTCTAACTCTTCCACCATCAAATTCTGGGATACTCGAGGATCAAGAACACCTAATTTCTTCTGCGAGAACAGACCAAAAATCACCTTTTCTTCATTTAAAATCAACGAAAAAATTAACTCACTAGCACAGCTGAATCGTACGCATTTCATTGAAATCTGCGGGTGACGTCATCACTATAAGCTGCTGGTAGTGACGTTACTCGCAGACCCAGATTTGGATGCAGAGGGAGTTAGGGGAGTATGACACGATTGACACATCACAACCCAGCATAATCAGATTATGCTTGATTATCCTCGCGAAAAATTGCCTATTATTTGATTTGTTACAACGTAATTCAAATTTAATTTCTTTTAAAAACTAATCTGCCTACTAAAGATTTGCATTATTAGGTTTTGTCAGTATTTTGTACATTCGTGGGAATTTTTTTTCAAAAGGGGAATTTTTGGACTCGCTTGTGGGAAATTTGATTTTGGAAAGTTGGCAACACTGTTCGTAATAGAAACTTTCATCGTCTGCATGAAGCATATGCGAGACTGAGACTGTCAAAATCCTCACGTTGACAATGAGACAGCCACAAGCTACACTTATTACACAAAACACAGTCTTTTTGATGAGATGGGTCAGCAGCAAATTGACCTTTCCTCACATCCAAGCAGGGCTTCGGAAAGTTAAGAAAAGTTAGGGTCATTATGGAACTCGTTCGACTATCACTTTAACAACCACCAAACACACATCGCTTCACCGCCCCTTGATAAAACATATCACGTTCCCCCAAAACTTCCATAATTATTAAATTTAGGCCCAAATTTGAAAAAATAACATTGACAATGCTATTTATAGGTTATGTGACGGAGCAAGTCGACGAAAAATATGACAATAGGGCAAGTACACGATCTGACAGTTTGACACTATTGACAGTCGCCTTGAGGTAAAACCGTAAAACAAAGATATCGGGTCTTAAAAAAAAAAACAAATCAAAGATTGCTTTGGTTCCGAAAACGTACGTCGCATTATTGTTTCTTTATTGGCCAGGATTTTTGACATGACATTTTGACATTAGATTTCATTGACTGACATTGTCAAAATTAAAGAAAAATATTGCTAAGACTTACGTTTAAAAAACCATAGCAATCTTTGATTGGTTTTTTTTTTGAAGACCCGATACAATTTACAGTGTTTTCTAAAGCCGGCTACACACGGTCCGGCGGACATGTCAGTTCGAACTGAACCTGAAGGCCGGTCGCCGGATGGACTGATGACCCTCCAAATGTTCAGGCGAATCTGATATATTCTTCAGCCTCTACTGACGATGACGCGTTTTTAGCATTTTTTGGTTCAGTAGGTAGTTGCTCTTGATAAAAAAGATTGGTTGAGAAAAAGGCGCTTATTCTCTCACGTGAATTTGCTAAATGAAGTTGGCTTCAAAGGATTGGCACAATTATCTACGTATGGATGAAGATAGATATCTGCAGCTTTTATCATTGGTAGCGCTTTTGATAGTCATGCCAAATATCAAGCATTAAAAATCAGCCGTTAATTTTTTAGAAATATTTGAAGTTACGCTCGAAACATCGCCAT